GCTGTTACGAACCAAGTTAGGTGCTTCTTTAGTTTTAATTAAATCAGATATTATAGGAAGTCCAAAGACACGACCCCTATTTTTTCCTCTTCCTTTTCCCACATTCTGACGACTATATATAATGGAATCTGAATCATATACTTTATCATTGTATTTCACATTATGATTAATATGTTTTGAATTTTTAACTAAATTACTAGCTCCTTTGCTATTTACGTCAAAGAAGGGATATTTTGCCAAAAGTATAGTGGTAATTATAAGAAATGAAATAAAAGATCGATTGAATTTTCGGGCAAGAAATTTAAAAAGCAAGAATATATCCATTAAATTATTTAGTAATTTTTGAATGAATGTCCTATGATTTTTTTGATTTAATATATTTAAATTTTCTTTTAATCTGCAACCATATTAACATTATTTTTGGTATAGTAAAAAATTAGTATTTCTGAAGGAATAGTTTATTTGTATAAAATCTAACGTTTAACCACTTTTCATAATATCATTCTTAGGGCCGGAGTGATTTATTAATGTGTTTTATTAATCATGATTATCAACCTGTATAACAAGTGTAAGGTAGTGCTTGTAGTCAATTTTGCATCAACCTATTTTTTGAAAAATCGGCTTAGTCGACTTTATTACAGCTATTTTCATAAATCTGCAAAAATTAATTTTAGGTCAAATAAAGATGATTGATCGACTTGACTTAGCCGGCTAAGCCGATTTTTAAACATGCCAAGTCGATAAATAATGATCGACTCCAAGCACTAGTATAAGGTGTCATTAAATAAAATCACACACAAGTCTGGTATTATGAAGAAGTTAACATTTTTTACAAATAAAAGTCAGACAAAACTTTGTTTTTTGAGGGGAATTTTTTTAAATCTATTTAGATATTAACTTGTTTTAAAATCATGATACGAAAAAAAATTGTACCTTGTATAATTCATGCGATGTTACTTAGAGAATTACGATTTTTAATTCGTGAGGGTAAAATGACAAACATATGTAAGTCAATGATCTAAATGAAAGTTGTATAAACCGGTTTAAGCTAAAATTCACAGAGTTGAAAATACCATGTAAAAAGACGACCAATCAGATTACCGTAATTGCGCGAACCACTGACTGTAACCCATACTCTACTGGGGTGTACACAATCAGTAAATTTACTAACATAGTGCAGGTCATATAGAAATTTTCACAATAAACTTTTTTATAGATCGTCAAATGTTATAGTTATAGATCGACAAATCTTATAGTTATAGATCGACAAATGTTATAATGTTATAGTTATAGATCAACAAATGTTATAGTAAAACATCTAAAATTCAAACTGAAATAACTCTTTAACCAGAAACCCGCATAAATCAAATCCCGTTCGTTAAGTTCGTAATAACGCTATTTTGTTTGGTTTTATTGTCCAGAGTAGTGATTGAACCTGTCTTAAAAGTACAACCCTGGTTACCCGACAGGTAGACCAGCGGGTCACTCAGGGAGACAGGTAGGTCTACTCGAGTACAAATATTACCCGTCAAACTGGAGTCAGAATAAAATTTTATTAAATCTTTGAATACTATGTCATATACAAGATCTTCCTAAAGGTTCGAAGCTTTTATTTAAATGGTTTATTATGAGCATGAATGTGGTTGGCATATAATTGTTATCAATACTATAGAAAGTTAGAACAGTATAGTCAATAACTCTAAATTCGGAGCTGTTAATTTTTGAAAGTACATTTAGTTTGAACTGAGGTAAAATCACCACCCTAAAAAATTTCAGACCAATCAAATCTCAAGATCAGGTGTAACGTAACACGAATAGAAAAATTCAAAACAAACGTTCGTTTTGTCAAAAAACGTTTATAACCCAAAATTTCGTCTATGAAACTGTCTTCTGCGCATTAATTAAAAGTTTTCCTTGTAAATTTTGCTATAGTAAATGATTTTAGACACCAATCTAATGGTAAAATCCAAACCCTAACCTAAAAAAAACGAAACTTTTTTTGGTGGCGATTCTACCCTTGTCTTTAGTTTGGCCTGAAATTTGGCCAGCCTTAGAGTATAATGTCGGCCGACTTTATGACAAGATTCGTGTAACGCCAATTGGCCAATAGAAATTTCTTCAAAGGTGAAAATGCTAGATTATACGAATTTCTTTAAATTAAAATTAGATATTTATGTGTTGTAAGGTGAATTATGCGAATATTATGTCGAATCATGATCCTGAACACTCTAAGGTGGACCCGCAGATTGGCCCGCGGGTGACCCGCGGGTCAACCTGTCCAGGCCTATCCGGATGGACATAATCATAACCCGAATATACGGGTATATGACTTACCCAGATATACACGGGTAAACCCTACCCGGGTTCTAGAGTATGGCGGAAGTCTCAATTTTTATGCAAAATTCTCGTTTTTGATGCATTTTTAATAAAAAAAACAAAACAGTAACAATGAAATTTCTGTTAGCGCCGTTACATGTTGTGCAACACAGCAAATTTCTTAAAGTGTTATTACTTTAAAAGCATGTTAAAACAAACCCAATAAGTATAATTTTATTTGTGTGGATTTGCTAGTTCAAGAGTTATCACGGCTTGAATTTTATTATATATTTTACCATCACTATTGTTGATTTATAAAAAAAAATGTATTGAGAATTTACTATATAACCTGCACTATGTTTGTGAACCTTTTTTTTTCTAAAAAAAAAAAAAAAACCCCCGTGATTTGGATGCATATACTATCATAAAAACAGTTTCTAATTCTATTTTAAAAGCTTTTTTGCAATTTAAAATAATAATAAGAATAATTAGTAATTATGTAACACATGAAGCAAAATTAAGTAACCCAATATTTTATATCTAACCAAGAATGGAGTACCAGGAACGGAGTGAGCGGTAATTCCGTAATGCCGTAATTAGTGATGGGAAAAATGCGCATTTTAAAATAACATGCGCATGAATGCGCATTAATGCGCACGAAATGTTTCATGCGCATGATATCGCATGATAAAAAAAAGGCAAAAAAAAGAAAAAACGATCGAGAGGAGAGAAATCTTGATGGGATAAAATGCGCATGAAACGGAATCATGCGCATGTTTCCGCAATCATGCGCACGCATGAAACCCATCTCTAGCCGTAATTCCGTAATGCCGTAATACGTCATGCATATAATATTTACTGCAATTAGATACTTACTATGCCGTAATTAATTCTATCAATGATTCTACCGCCAACTATAGGTTATATGGAGAGTGAAATGATGTGTGCAAATACGGGCTTCTAATTGGATATGGTTCTAAATGATATCTTGATTTATATCTTGTTTAACTGGCACTTGTTATATATTCAGACTTGTTTTATTTGGTTATTCCTTTTATAAAAAATTGCATCAAACCGATCGAACACGTTTATTGTATAAAATATAACTAAGTCGCATTTGTATTACTTATGCGTAAACTTTTATTATTATACCAGGAACGGAGTGCATGGTTAAGTGGTAAGTCACATGTTTCCGTACAAATACATGCTTTTGATTGGCTATTTCTTTTTATATGCATTAGATGATTACTTATTTCTATTCTATAGTTATTGTAATTAGAAATGTGTATGGGGTTTTTCGTCTATATGCAACATGATTTTCCCAATTTGCATATGCATTCAGGTATTTACGCGGTTTAGAAATGATCTAAAATTTACTAAGAGATTAAAAATAGTATTTTTTATTATCTACAGGGTGAAACCTGAGTTGCGAAATGGTGAATCCGCTATGATCTTCACGAGGGTGAAATCCGCTTTTTTATAATAATAAAAACGCGGATTTCACTTTAACCTGATCTACAAAGCGGATTTCACTATCTCACAACTCAGTTTCACCCTGTTCTAAAATAACAATCAATTTTAAAAAAACCTTTAAAATATTCTTGCAAAAGTTATTTCCGTGGGGATCCCCGAGGAGTTTAAAAGACGGAATTTTCCAAATGAAGATCTTTCCCAAAAATAGAAATGATATGCGCTACACGAATTTGAAAATCCCTGACTGGCTATTATTGATTTTCTCTAATTTGCGTATTACAGCACGAGTACTAACTTATTATCATTCAAATGATTCTAATTGTTTATTTCATACTGTAGTCATTTTTGTAATCGCATTGCAAATCCAAGTTTTTGAATTTGAAGTCATTTCACGATTTAGGTTGATTCCGAATTGACCCAGGTCATCAATAAATTTTCACGATTCAGAAATGACCCACACTGCGAAATTTAAGGATCAGGGAGTGACTAATTATTGAGAGACTAATATATGTCAACTACTTTATTATATATAAATAAATGTAAATAAATTAGTTAATGCTTATTTGTCACGAATTATTTGGAACATCCTCGGCGGTGCAACACCGTGCAATTTAAGGATTGGCGGGACCAACCATTGGGGTGACAAATAAGCATCAAATAGTTTATTTATACGTAGGTAAATTAGTCGGTGCTTATTTGTCACGCCTCATACTCAGGAAGGAGTCATCACTTGATTCCAAAACTAAATAAAAATTTAGAACCCAGAATTATTACATATGCCAAATTAATTAATGCAAAAAAACAAAATTTAATAAATAAATAAACCTTTTCTGATGTTTAACTTTATCGATTAATACGATTTTTTTTTCTTATTAATTTTTAAAATGGAAAATTACGACCTTTTGACGCATGAAGCCTTTGATCGAATATTAAAAGCTTTTATCCATCAAAAGAAAAACAATTGCTGTTTAATGAATCAAATAAATATAATCAATGTTTAACTGTAATTAAAAATCCAAACAACTTATATAATCCAAAATTTAAATATTGGGTAAACATAATTTTAAAATTATTTACGTTGGTGCAACTAAAGAACTTTATACAATTAAACGACCTGGGGACGCATGTTTATCTTGTTGAAAACTTTTTTATGCTTTAACGTGCATTTTTTATTGTGATTTTTTTTTTTTGAGGCATTAAAGCATCTTTTCTAATATAGTTAAATTTTATTATAAAGAATTTTTATAATTTTTTGATTTCTTTATGTAAAAGTTTGCTTTTTTCATGCAACATACCTTTAATAATATAATAAATATTATTGCTTTGGTTATATATTTTTAAATTTTAACAATTTCACCGATTGAGAAATGATCTAGGTCATTTCAAAATTCAAGAATGATTTAGGTCAATTCGAAATCGACCTAAATTGTGAGATGACTCAGAACATCTATACATATAATAAAAAAGCAATATAATAATGAACGAAAGGGTACATGCAAATTTCTTTGAGATGGCATGTCAAGTAACCTATAACG